CAGCGATCGCAGGCGTTGCCTCTACTTTCCCAGGGGAACTGGCCTGACATGTCCATCACTCTGGACTAAACTGTGGCCTCCAGAAAGACGTATGGGGGCTCTAGAATCATGGGTCCGTGTGAACAGCCTGCCTTGGAGGCTGAGTCCCGGCAACTGCAAGCTGGTGAGGAAGCGGTGGTGGAGGCCGGTGGCCCCTCACCCCGCACAGCTGCCCCTGGAGGAAGAGGCACAGGGTGGAGCTGGCCAAGGGCATCCTGGGGCGGGTGAGGGAAGCGGCACCTAGATTTTGTTGAGTCAGCGTGAGAATTTCCGCGCTTGGCGCTGTCCCGTGGGAACTCGTCCCCTTCTTCCCCAGCTGCCCACCCCAGGGCCTTTCTGGGGTGATGACAGTTCCCCCACCCCACGTCTCCACACTAGCCCAGGCCAGGCAGGCAGCTGCCGTGGTCTTCTTGGCACCTTTCTCAGCACTGGGCTGTGGAGGTTGGTGAGATCCAGGCAGCAGCGGGCAGAGGGCTGCACCCCGTAGGGTCCAAGGGCATCCTGAACCCCCCCCCCCCTTCCCCGAGTGAAATTCCTGGCCGCAGAGGCCGCCTGAGGGGCCCCAGTGAAGGTTGATGGGTCCCAGGTCAGGCTGCGTCACCCACCGAGGCCCCAGCTCCTCCCCGAGGTGCAGGACACTCCGGGCACTGCCCAGCCCTGCATGGCACCATGAAGAGCTCTGAGCAGGGGTGCTCTGACCCCAAGTTTGTTCTCAGGGAAGAGGTGGGTTCCTCTGTGTGTGTGCGCGCATGTGTGCATGCCTCTGTGTATGTGTGTGTACGTGCAACTGTGTGTGACCATGTCTGTGTGTGTGAGCGTGTCTGTGTGTGCATGTGTGTGTCCGTGTGTGCGTGTTCGTGTGTGTGCGTGCACGTGCGCATCTCTGTGTGTGTGCATGTGTGTGTGCCTATGTGTGCGTGCACGCGACTGTGTGTGTGAGCATGTCTGTGTGCATGAGCGTGTCTGTGTGTGTGTGTTTGTGTGTGTGTGCGTGCGCGTGGGCATCTCTCTGTGTGGGTGCATGCCTCTGTGTATGTGTGTGTGCACGCGTCTGTATGTACGCGCGCACGTGTGTGTGCGTGAGCATGTCTGTATGTGAGTGTTTGTTAGCCTGTGTGTGTGCATGTGCGTGTTTGTCTGTATGTGCTCGCCTTTTTGTGTGGGTGCATGTGTGTGCGCTTCTGTGTATGTGTGTGCGCGTGCATCTGTGTGTGTGAGATTTTGTGTGTGTGTGTGTGAGAGAGCGTGTCTGTGTGTGTGTGCGCGCGCACACCAGGGGTGCAGGACTAGAACTTTCTGCAAACCTGGCGCTCAGCGGGGACCTCACACTCAAGCCTGTGCCCCGCCCCCTGGTGGCCGAGGTGAGACTCACACCCTCAGTACTGGCCTCTCCCAGAGAGCAACACTAGGACCAGCACTGAGAATCCGGACCCAGGAAAGACCCACCCAGCTGTGATGTGCCTGCACCCTTACCCTGACCCTGCAGAGTGGGACCTCATGGCTGCCACGTCACCTGGGGGGTGTCTGCGATCCTAGGAGCTGGGTGACAAGCCCCAGTTTGTCCCTTCTCAACCTCCTTGAGAACGAGGTACGCGCTTCCTTCCGAATCAGCAAGGCGAGGACTTGGATTTGGAATCAATTCAGCTCTTTGCTTTTGTGTTTTTCACATGATTTCTATGAACTCATTTCCCCCCCATATGTCCTGGATTTGTATTTTATAACACCAGATGGGGTTACTAATTAAACTTTAGAGCCCAGTCCTGCAGTGCTTACACTGGAAATTGATTACGACAGGGCTGGCAGTAATCAATATATCTGCCACAGAGGATGGTTGAAGGAGCCATGGTTACTGTTTGGAATAAAAGCCAATGAGCTCTGTAAATTTAATTGAGGAGTTATAACTTGATCACTCAGAAACAGTACAGAAGCGTCTTATATTTCTGACAAGACCTGAGGGCATGCTTCCATCACGACCAGTCAGTGAACCAGGGGCCTTACAAGGACAGATAAGAGAGGTGACAACTACCAGCTGGTCCAGTGTCAGAAAGGCCCCATCTCTTGGAATAGTGCTGTTCTGATCTCTTAAAGTTGGATGAAAGTGATTTCAGGCCAGTGCTAACTCGTGTCTGATCACTAGAAACTCATATAGTCCCCCACGCCCTGCCGGGACTCATCCCTGAGCACAGGGTCAGAGGAAAGCCCTGATATGGCCAGGTGTCCACCACCCCCCCGCCCCCAGCAAGCAGGTTTGACAATTGACGCCTGGCATGCTATTCCCATGGGTGTTTATGGACCAGGTACAGATCTCCAGATAACTAAGCAAATTGAAAGTCTCTAATATTTTATTTCCAGGCAAATGTGAATCCTCTTTGCTGTCCTTCAGGCTACTCAGAATATTTGCCAACTCTGTACCCACCACCAGATAGAACAGGAACACAAAATCCTAACACTGGCACCAATGCTGACACCTGGACCACAAAGTCCATCTCGACACCCACCACTAACACAGACACCCAGACCACACAGTCCATCCCGACACCCACCACTAACACAGACACCCAGATCACACAGTCCATCCCGACACCCACCACTAACACAGACACCCAGATCACACAGTCCATCCCAACACCCACCACTAACACAGACACTCAGATCACACAGTCCATCCCAACACCCACCACCAACACAGACACCCAGACAACAGCCCATCCCGACACCCACCACCAACACAGACACCCAGACCACACAGTCCATCCCGACACCCACCACCAACACAGACACCCTGACCACACAGTCCATCCCGACACCCACCACCAACACAGACACCCAGACAACAGTCCATCCCGACACCCACCACCAACACAGACACCCAGACCACACAGTCCATCCCGACACCCACCACCAACACAGACACCCAGACAACAGCTCATCCCGACACCCACCACCAACACAGACACCCAGACAACAGCCCATCCTGACACCCACCACCAACACAGACACCCAGACAACAGCCCATCCCGACACCCACCACCAACACAGACACCCAGACCACACAGTCCATCCCGACACCCACCACCAACACAGACACCCAGACAACAGCCCATCCCGACACCCACCACCAACACAGACACCCAGACCACACAGTCCATCCCGACACCCACCACCAACACAGATACCCAGACAACAGCCCATCCCGACACCCACCACCAACACAGACACCCAGACCACACAGTCCATCCCGACACCCACCACCAACACAGACACCCAGACAACAGCCCATCCCGACACCCACCACCAACACAGACACCCAGACAACAGCCCATCCCGACACCCACCACCAACACAGACACCCTGACCACACAGTCCATCCTGACACCCACCACCAACACAGACACCCAGACAACAGCCCATCCCGACACCCACCACCAACACAGACACCCAGACCACACAGTCCATCCCGACACCCACCACCAACACAGACACCCAGACAACAGCCCATCCCGACACCCACCACCAACACAGACACCCAGACCACACAGTCCATCCCGACACCTACCACCAACAAAGACACCAGGACCGCACAGTCTCTCCCAACACCCACCACCAACACAGACACCCGGAACATACAGTCGATCCCCAAACCCCACCACCAACACAGACACCCGGACTGCACAGTCCATCCCACAACCCTCAGCAACCCAGATCCAGGACCACAGCAGCCCAACACCACCAACAACACAGTCACCTGGATCACACAGGTGAAGATTCCTCAGCTTCTCCCATGCTACATTTTTAGCTTATTTCAACTTTTCATATTTGGGGTTTCTGATTGATTCTTTTTTACAACTGCTGTTTTCTTTGTAGTACTGGTGTTAACCCTGGTCTCTGGAAGCTCTTTGGAGGCTGGTGGTTTGAGATATGTCATGCCCATTGGCAGAAACTGATCCTTCGGCACACAGTTACAAGGTTTTCATGACTGGGTTTCAGTCATACGGTGTTCCAACCCACCCCTCACCAGTGTACATTTTTCATCACCAATGTTCCCAATTTCCATTGTGCCACCATTCCTCCACCCCAGCCTGCCTCTTTGGCAGGCACCCACCTTCCCTCCCTCCCTCCCTCCCTCCCTCCCTCTCTCTCTCTCTCCCCCTGGGCATTATAGTTTGCAATACAAGTACTGACAGGATATCATATGTATCTCTTTAGCTATCCTCAGCACATAGTTCTTGTCCAGAGTGATCATTCCCAATGTTCATTGTCATACCTGTCCCTTCTCTAACCTAGGTGCCTTCTCTCCCCCGACTTGTGGTAAGTTTCCATTCATGGACCAGTCTCCCCAGCCTTTGTTTCTATTGTCCGTGAATATTAGTCTCATACTACTTTTTATTTTTTTAAATATCCCACAGATGAGTGAAATCATTCTATGTCTGTCCCTCTCCTTTGACTCATTTCACTCAGCATGATACGCTCCGTTGTCCATCCATTGATAAGCAAATTTCATGACTTCATTTTTCCTGGTGGCTGCATAGAATTTAATTGCATAGATGTACCATAGTTTCTTTATGCAGTAGTCTATTCTCAGGCACTGAGGCTGTTTCCAGATTCTGGCTATTGTGAATAGTACTGCAATGAACATAGAATGGCGGCTGGCTTGTCTGTTGTGTGTTTTGGAGCTCCCAAGGTATATTCCCAGAAGTGGTATTTCTGAGTCATATAGGAGCTCAATTTCTAATTTTTGTTGACTGTTTTCCAAAAAGGCTGGATAGTTGGAATACCTAATTCTTCACAGCATTTGGAGAAATTGTTAGAGATCAATACAGACAGAGATAGAGAGAAAGAGGAAAAGAGAGAGAGGAAAAGAGAGAGAGAGAATTTCCTTCTTGGAGCATGGAAACCACCTTTTACCACAGGTTGAATAAAAATCGATTCAAAGAGAATTGAGTGAAACAAGACACAAAGAATGGCTTTTAGGATAATTAAAACTAGTTTGGATTTTTTATTTATCAATCTGGTCTCTAATATAATTTGAATTCAATGAAAGACATTCACAAAGAATATTAGGCATACATACATAATTTCCTTCTTTCATTCTAGTTTACATGCGGCTGCTTTTAGAGTGAGATTTTTGTGTTGCTTCACAGGGATGGAGCCCTAGTTGACTTTGCAGAAAGAGGACTTAGTCCAGCTCATCACAACCCTGACCCTCCGCAGTCACCATGCTCACTGAAGAAATGGAAAAACCTGACCCCCCCCAAAAGCCCTCAGAATCAAAAACACTTAGATCCACACCTTAGTCCACTTCAGAGGAATCTCCCTGCCTTCGTCATGTCTCAGTGCCCACCACTCACTGTGACTATACCACCACTGGGAAAACAATCCAGACCACTTCCAAGGTACATTTTCATCTGAGAACAACCTTGTGTGTGTCGTTGTGTGTTAGCAGCACCTCTATCTCGTGGTCTCCTGCTTGCCTCTACTCCACAGAGGACCCACTTCTCAACATGGCTTCCTTGGCTGACCAGCAGAACTTGGCATACCCCTGGGACCCCAGAAACACCGCAGTGCAAGGACCCTCAAGTGTCCGACATTATCATGCAGGGTAGGCACGGGGCCTTCCAGGCTATGAGGAAACGTCACCTTTCTTCTCTGTCTCATCTCCTCACTAATCCTACTGTACTGGGCGCATGCAAGTGCTGAATGGGAACTGAGGGTCTTAGGTGTAGGAAGTTCCTGATTTCTGACCTCCGACTGGGAAGTGTTCCACCTGGACAAGTCAACTCCCTCTCCACGTTGTCTCAGCACACCCACATTCTTGGATATGATCCGAGGTGACTTAGCAATGCAAGTCAGTCTCCCATGAGCTCCACTGACTTTGGCCTGTAAATTGACTTTCAAGGGATTCTGCAGATGGAGTCAATCTGACGAGAAGATGGAGTCTTCTTGTCATAGTCAGAGGAAGCCGGTAAAATACAGCAGAGAGGGACAGAGGCCACAGAGTAAATCAGGGAAGGGGGGGGCATGTGATGACGCTACTCACGGAATTTCAGGGTCTACCTTCTCCCAAACATCAGTGGGTAAATGGTGTCTGTTGGGTTTTAACACACATCACTGAGGCTCACAGCCACCATCTCTACTTTAGGATAAGGATCTCCTGGCCCTACCAATTAGGATCCCTTTGGGGGCTGCTAACTGGAATTGATGTGATAATTGCTGCCTTTTCGCTTTGAAAATTGCTCAAGAGGAAGGTGAAAAGAAATGCAGATAATTGGGTCCTAACAGCTCAAAGGCAGTGGATGTCCAGGGACCACTTGAACCTTCATACCATAAGAAAGAGAAGGAAGAGTCCACGCAGATGGAGAAAAAGCAGAGGTGATGACAGAAGGAAATGGAAGTTTCTTCTTGCACCTCCACAGACCGATGTGCCCAGGAGCCGCCTGTAGTTTCCATCTGCTTTCCGTGGCTGGTATCTCGTGACATCTCCACCACCCCCAGTCTGGAGGCTGCTCATTAGATGTGCAGACCACAGTGGGGCTTCCCTTCCACTCATCTCACTTCTTTCACACCTCTGAATTCCCACCCCTACTCCTAACAGGCTCTTCTCTATCAGACTCCAGGCAAAGGGATGTTTCCTAACAAAGCAGCCCACATGTTTGCTATCTCTTCAACCAAAACTCACACGAAGTCTCTCGAAGAGGGCCAAAGACTCACCCAGAATCTGTGTTACCTCCCTAGCTGTCTCCCTGGTGCTTTAGGGACTCCAGGCCATTTTGCGAGGTTAGATGACGCCGATTTTGCTTTCATTCCAAGTCCTCACTCTCTGCTTCTCCAAACACAGGGGCCTCCATTGTACACAGAGAAAGTTCCAACCCAATCCCCGAATCAAGCCAACGGTCTTCCTCCACAAAGGCCTCTAATTGACACATAACTCATCTCTTGTCTGATCTGCTTTTTGACTTGTAAAGCAGTCACCACTAACATTGCTTTGACTGACAGTGTATTGGGAAATAAGATGTCAAGATTGGGAAGCAAGAGTTGATGTTGAGCTTGGCATCTAAGGTAAGTGCTGCATTGGTCCTGCTTTCATTTCTGTATACCTACACAAATACTTCACCAAATACTTAGAAGGTCCACAAGAGGGTCTGCGTAAAAAGATCTTGGAATTTGGGGGAATGACACCAATCCCAAAGAGAAGTCAAGATTTCTAGCACTCACTTGGGCACTTTTCTTCAATACTTAATATTTTGCCCATCTGGGTGTCTCCTATGTGTGGGCCAGCCTGTAGCCCTGGAAAGGGTGGAGATTTTCAACCCTCTCTTTGGGGCTATTCCCATGCTCCTCATTTGAAAATTTGGCAAGAGAAGTGTTGGATTTTCTTTTGAACGTTGGATGGCAGGGAAGAGAAAGAGAACCTGTAAGTACCAGGGGATGTTTCTGATTGCTTTAATCCCTGAATCCTTTGGGGGGTAGAAAGGGACAGTACTGAGGCGTGATGAAGAACCAAGATTATGTGGGAAACATGAGAAATAAACTCCCTCCTGGCATTCTTGGGGAAACTGAAGAGAAGAAAAAAGAAACAAAAACAATAACAAAAGCCAAGAACCAAACCTGTAGGACAGGTTCTGAAAAAGAGAAACATCCCGGAGAAGGCTTAAAATGAGCTTTTCCTTATAATACACCAAAGAACCCGTAAAGGTAGTCATCTTGGTTAAATAAACTGCCTTTGTTTGTACCATCCGGGCTGTAACTTGTATGTTGTTTTGATATTCAGTCATGTTAAATACTTTCACATGTACTTTACGGAAGAATGACCAAGACCTCTCTGATCGCAACCTGACAGTTAGGTTTTCCTTTCTTTATCCTGACTTGAGAGAGAAAAGAGAACCAGCATCTCTCTCAGAAGGTGTCAGATGCTTCTGGAATCCCCCCTTGGCAGTGAGGGGAATGTTTTCCATTGATCAAGAAATTGAGATTCTCCACTAAGTTCGGTCCATTGAATATCTTAAAAGTGTGTATAGATAGCTCTAAGAAACTAGAAATTTTACTGAGGCCAGTTATTAGCAAATTAACACCCGGACCCTTTAAACCTCACCTTACCCCCACTTCCGGGAGAAGAAGAAAAAAGTGGGCCTATTCATCCTCAAAATGTTGGAATCTAAAAGTTTTTTCTTAAAAAAAAGTGCTTATTAGATCTAAGAGCCTAAACCACCATGATCACAAACAGTAGTCATTCCAGAAGGAGCTTTTGTGTCTTTTGAAAATTAAAGTTCTTTTTCGGGGGGGGGGGCAGTGTGGAGTGGAAGAAAAAAATGCTCCAATAGAAGCATTGTCCTATGCAGTTACACAAAATCTTTTTCATTAAACCAAACCAATGAGTTATTTGTTGGATCAAGCTGGATCATGTTTCCTGATTCAACTGAGACATGTCTGTTCTCTGAGTTGCAACAGTCAGTTACCAGGTTGGTGATGAGTTTGAGGTTCAAATGTGCCTGCCATAGAAGTTCCCTGAATCATGGCAGCGTGTCTACTTCAGATGGGACGATTCATGGCGAAGATGACTTAAAATATGGCAGTGTTTTCCATTTGATTCCAGAGTGAGAGCAGAAAGAAGAGCAAGGACAACTTGGCGTTTGTTTGCGGGCATCCAGTCCAAGGACCCGGCTAGGATTTTGTCACAGCTCGAGATTCAAAGCAAAAGAAGAAGCGCTTATCTAATTGATGCATTCACGAGACAGTGTCCATTTCTTGCTAGGACTATTTAAAAAAAAAAAAGAAAACAAAACAAAACAGAGCAAAGAAAGCCTAACCGCTGGCTCTAACTTCCCATGGAGGTTCTGTGATCTAGCACGTGGTAGGTTAACAGCTAGCCACCACGGTCTTGGAGCTGACAGTTTAGACATCGAATAGATCTCAGACTACATGCATGGAACGACAGGCTCTTGTAGATTAGGTGAAAATAGAACCAACGGTCCCAATAGGAAATTTCTCCTCCGACCCCGAAAGCATCTCTCTCTTGTACTGATCACATTACTTCATAAGAGATGCCTGACCCCAGTCTCTCCTGTTGCAGGCTGGAATTCTCGGAACTGGCCTAGATTGAGGTCTCCGAACACTAGCAAGCCGTAAGTTCTCTTTGCCCCTTTCTTTCCCTTCCTAATGTACAGGACACAAAAAGAAACCTGATGGGAACACACGCTAGTGTAACTACGTAGCCGGCTTAGATTTGACATGAAGCAAATGGAAGGAAATGCTTGGAGGCCCTAATGTATGTGCTCCACTTTTCCCAAGGAAAACAAAAACAAAAACGATCCACATCCTAAGGGCTCTTAAAAATGTAGAAAACTTGCCCTTTGCCATGGGGTTTTTCAGTACACCTCTAAACACGCACAAAATAAGACAGAGAGTACCTACAAATTTCAACCATCGCTTAAACTCTAAAAGCGGTTTTTGTATTATTTTCTTTTGATACAGAAGGGGAAACTCAGCTATAAAGAAATAGTAAAAAGTCTTTTTTTTTTCTTGTCCTTTTTTTTTTTTTTTTTTTTTTTTTTTTTTGGTGGTGTGCAGTCTCGAGAACTTTCGGCCGCTGACCTCCCCCTAGCTTGTGCTGACGGTTCACGGATGTGCTCGAGTGTACAAAGCAGGGTGCGTCTGCCCCTTCCCACCTCCCTCACGCTCCCCTGCCCGGACCTCACAGCCACACGACCCCCTCAGATGAGCCATTCCTTCTTGCTCTCGTCAATGGTCTCTGTGAAGTTGGGGTCGTTGTTCATGATAGCCGCGTCTGCGCTCTCTGCCGACTCTGCTCCCTTGGCTTCGTTGGTGTGGTAGGTGCCCTTGTGGCGGAACATGTATCGGATGAGGAAGACCAAGGTGCAGAGGATGGTGAAGATCACCACAGCAATGACGCCTGCGAGAGAGGAGAGAAACTGAGTAATCCAGACCTGAACTCCCCCGCCCGCCCCTTCCCCCAGTCTCACTCCCATCCTACCCCCCTCTGCCAGATAAGAGGCAAAGTCCGAGGTAACAGCGACAATGAAATCAGGCCCCTGTTTCTGGCCAGAATGGGAGGAAGGAGAACCCCAGGAGTAAGAGGGTCCTGGAGGTAAAAGTTAGACACGGGACAAAACATGTGCAACAACCGTTTCAGACAGTGGACACTGGCCATGACAGTAGAACCATGACACCCAAGAGGAAAAAGGATGAGCTCTACCCACTTTTCTCGAGTCTCTTGGCAGGAGGTAATTTCTGGACAGAGGTGTAGACTGATTCTAAATGTGTATCAGTGATGACTCCCGTCTGTGTGTATGCCTACGGCTCTAATCCGTGCGTGTGCCTAATAGAACTTCCAAGTAGATGATGTTGAAAAAAACAAACTGAGCCAAGTGTACTTGCACACAAACACATACTGGCATACAGATTTGCCTATTAAAATACGTGTGACAGATTGTGCTCTTCTCTCAATTAGTTTTTTATTTTTTAATTTTTAAATGTAGCCTTTTCTTTTATTTTTTGGCCCACACCCAGCAATGCTCAGGGGTTACTCCTGCACTCCTGGTGGTGCTCGGGGGTGGGGGCGGTGGTGGGACCATATAGGATTGCCAGGGATCGAATCTGGGTCAGCCATGTGCAAGGCAAACGCCCTACCCATTGGCTATTGCTTTGGCTGTCTTCTCTCGATTATTCACAGAACAATTAAATTGAAAGTCAGTAGGAATTTAGGAGACCTGAATAACACGACTAACAATAACCCTGAGACCAGTCCAACACATTGTTCCTCAGAGTGGGAGGAAACCCTGCTCAACTCAGTTGAGGAGGTCATTGTGAGTGGATCCTAAATCAGAGAGCTTGTACCAGTTATTTCGTCTCTTGACAGTAAGGCAGGCAGCATGAGAAAACTGGGAGCAAGATTCCTCTTTACCAGACCTCCCACAGCTGCCACCATGTTGACTCACCCACCGGCTACACTCTACAGATTCATGACTAAATCTCCCAGGTGACGCAAGGCAAGCAGCTAAAATTCATGGAAACACCCGTCCCTGAAGCTGAAAACTCTGGGGGCACCCTCAGAAGGAGAAACCCAGGCAGCTGTCCCCATACCTGACCCCTGTGGCCATGTCAAGGGCTCAACTCCACCACTTCACTAGCATTCTCTGTAGAGACGCCGAACTGCGAATAATTTCAGGTGCCTGGTGCCCAGGCTGAGGACTCTGGAGTCTTTTTAGAGTCAGGTGGGCAGTGTTACCCTTACCCCCCATAATTCCGGAAGCCTTGGCAGCCACGCCCACCTCCTACAGCCAAAAGCTGTAGAACACAGAACTTTAATTTTCACAAGACACAAAAGCTCCTTCTGGAATGACTACTGTTTGTGATCATGGTGGTTTAGGCTCTTGGATCTAATAAGCACATCATGTCAACTCATTGGCCCAGACCATAGATCCTTAAGTCTCTGGACCCCTCTCAGTTCCTCAATACTGCCATTCCAGTAGGAACATACCAGATTAGGTGGGAGAGTGACACAGAAGCCAACTAAACTCAACAAACAAAAAAAAACTGATAACACAAAAGGCTTAACTAAAAACAAACAGCTTTAGCAAACTCTTAGACAAGGACTTAACAACCCTGTGAGGGGGATACAACAATTTTCACATAAAAATTAATTTTTTACACTTATTGATTTTAATATTGGAGCTTATATAATCCCAGTCAAAATTAGAGCAAACGTTTTCGGTATAATTTTTTTTGCTTTTTGGGTCACACCTGGCGATGCACAGGGGGTTAATCCTGGTTCTGCACTCAGGAATCACCCCTGAGCACCGGTGCTCAGGGGACCATACAGGATGCTGGGAATCAAACCTGGGTCGGCCGCATGCAAGGCAAACACCCTACCTGCTATGCTATTGCTCCAGCCCCTTGGTATAAATTTTTGAGTGGATTCTAAATTTAGTATGCCAAAGGACCCAGAGTAGCCAAAATTAGTTCTAAGCTAAAAGGAAATCAGAGAGCTTATACTATTTATTTCAAGACTCATTCTCAAGATAAACATAAGGTAAAGGTAAAGGCCCTCCCGTTGATTGTCGATTTGCTCGAGCGGGCCCAGTAACGTCTCCATTAGAGACTTTGTTGTTATTGTGTCTGGCATATCAAATACTCTCGGTAGCTTGCCGGGCTCTCCGAGAGGGGCGGAGGAATCAAACTCGGGTCGGTCATGTTGGCCGCTTGTAAGGTGAACGCCCTACCTGCTGTGCTATCGGTCCAGCCCAGATAAACATAGTGCTTAGATAATTAAAATGTGGTATTGGATAAGCTGTATAGCTGGACAAGACAGTATTAGGAGAGCAAAAAATACAGACATATACAATAGGTCTATTAGTTTGGCTTATTTTTAAAGCATTTTTCATTTAAAAATAGTGATGTTGACTTTTTTGCTTTTTGTATGTGTCTTTGTGCAGCACTTAGCAGGGCTCAGAGCTTTCTCCTGGGGGTTCTCAGATGACCAGGAAGGATCTGGGGATTGAACCTGGGATGGCCACACAACAGGCAAGTGCCTTACTCACTGTACTAGTGCTCCAGCTCTTAATCTTGACTTTATTTCATACAAAGTCTCTGACACTAAATGATAATAGACTTAATAAGGGCTGGAGTGATAGCACAGCGGGTAGGGCGTTTGCCTTGCACGCAGCCAACATGGTCAACCCGAGTTCAATTCCTCTGCCCCTCTTGGAGAGCCTGGCAAGCTACCAAGAGTATCTCGTCTGCACGGCAGAGCCTGGCAAGCTACCTGTGACATATTCGATATGCCAAACACAGTAACAACCAATTCTCACAATGGAGACATTATTGGGCTCGCTTGAGAAAAATCGATGAACAACGGGAGGACAGTGACAGTGACAGACTTAATAAAGGTTAAGAATCTAAAGCTCCTAAAATAAGACAGAAAATATTTACAGTCTTGGAGTAGGCAGAGTTAAAGATATCATGACTAAGAGAACCAGGGAAATTACTCAAATGTGGTTGTGAATAAAGTTTGGTTCCCATCACCATTGGCCCACTGAGCACAGCCTTGGCAGGGCTAGGAGAAGTCTTTGAGCACACCTGGGTGTGACCCAGAAACAAAAACCCAAAGCAAAATAAGCCCCTACCCCAAACAATAACAAAGATTTTACAGTCTATACAAAATGCGAAAGCTGGGGTTTTATAAACATCAACCTCTCTGAGTGTTCAAAAATATAGTACAAAGAACATTTAAGGGAAAGTTACAAGTGGGAGAAAATAGTCCCAATCTTTATGTCTGCCCAAGGATTGTATCTCGGGGGAAAAAAAAAGCTCTAAGAAGACAATTAGGCTGGAGCAATAGCACAGCGGGTAGGGCATTTGCCTTGCACGCAGCTGACCTGGCTGACCCAGGTTCGATTCCTCTGCCCCTCTCGGAGAGCCTGGGAAGCAACCAAGAGTATCTTGCCTGCACGGCAAAGCCTGGCAAGCTATCTGTGATGTATTTGATTTGCCAAACACAGTTACAAGTCTCACAATGTTACCGGGCCTGCTCGAGCAAATCGATGAACAACGGGAGGACAGTGTTACAGAATAGTGCTAAGAAGACAATTAGAAGATGGGAAAGGGTCTTTGAAAAATGCACAGGAAAGAAGCTTCCCATCAGTCGTCACCAAACTGCCCATCAAAACCAAAATGAGGTATTGCCCATCCACTGGACTGGCGAAAACTAAGACCCAGCAGACCAGCACTGTGACCGTGTAGGGAAGTGTCAGTGCTCACAGACGACAGACGAGGGGATGACACGGACAACGGAATGCAAAACGGTTCAGTCAGTCTGGAAACCTGTCTGACAATTCCTTCCACTATCCATTTTTATAACACCCAGTTGTTTTACTCTTCGAAGTTACCAAGAAGAGAAGAATATTCATAGCAGCCTTATCCAAAAATGGTCTGAATCTGAAAACAAATCAAACCCTTACTCCCTGCTGAGCAGGCAAACAGTTAGGGCCCCTTCAGACACCCAGGCCGACTATGAAGAAAAATCAGGAGAGTCCTGCCACCCGGAGAGATCTTCCAAGCCTGACGGTGCTGGGAAGGTGTGGGTGGGACAGATGCCATCATAGAAGCCATCGTTCACCTCAAACTCTATAAGGGGCAAACTAATCTAGGTGAGGAAAAGCAAACTGAAGATTGGCTGGGCAGGGGGAGGGTGGGTGAGAAGGCACCCAGAGAGGCAAAAGCATATGTTCCAAATCTTGAGCGTGGTAGTGGCCACCTGGAAGGACATCTGTCAGAAGCCATAGGAGGCCTCTTAAACTCAGTGGGCACACGGCAGTGAGCAGAGTTTCCAAGAAGCACCGACCAATCAACAGTGAGGGCAAGGGCTTTGTTTGAGACCGTGTGTATTCTAATTCCATAGTTATAAATGTTTTTTTCCTAAGGGGTCTACTTCCTTCACGTGAGAAACAGACCCACTAGCTCAGACAAGCTGATTGCCTGAGTTCAAGTTCCTTGGGAGGTTCCAGGGATGCGGCTCTTGCCTCCCTGTTGGAGGCGCTAGGTTGTGTGTCAGGTACCACCAACCAAACCCACACCAAACAAACAAAAAGCCCTGAGAACTGATGCTGAAAAATCTTCGACATGTCACTCTATTAGCTATACTCAGAGGAGCAGGAGACAGGTTTGTGAAATAAGACAAGAAGCACGAAGAGACAGCCAGGCTCTGTAGGGTTATCACCACGGCAAATGTGAGAGAATTCTCAGAGGGCCAAATGACTCTGCAGCTGTCCAGGGGGAGAAGAAAGGACTGGAATCTTCCAGATACTCTGATTCATTTCTCACGCGCCCTATGAGGTCACTGAAGGCACACAGGAAAACTCCTTCCCTTTGGAGAGGGAGCAGGAAAAGAGGGAGGAAGAAATACTTGCCTTGGCCCGGCTGCTCCTGGACCAGATCTGACTGGCTTACATCACCATTCTTTGAAACAACCGGTGAGCAATGAACGAGCCAGGTTGCATTCATTACAGTGGCTCCACATCTGGACTTGACAATCCGTAGTCCCATTTCAGCAGCAACAAGAAGCCCAGCAAGACTCCAGCCAACACTTTTTCTTTTTCTCTTTTTGGGTCATACTCAGCATTGCTCAGGGGTTCCTCCTGATTTTGCACTCAGGAATTACTCCTGACGGTGCTTGGAGGACCATAGGGAATGTCGGGAGTCAAACATGGGTCGGCTGCGTGCAAGGCAAATGCCCTCCCCACTGTACTATCGCTCTGGCCCTAGCCAACACTTTTTCTCCATGACAGCTGTAGTATTCCAGGTGAGGGGACAGGTGCAACACCTACCTCCGATGATGGCCGAGTTCCTGTTGACGCCATTTCTTATGGCTTGTCCTTGTCCTGGGTTATACGGGAAATCAGCACTGGCTGCAGAGGAAGAAGAGCCACGTGTAAGTCAACCAATAAACTCAGTAATTCCAACCTTCCTGCTTCACACAACTCCCCACTCCCTCCCTGTTTCCCCAGAGGAAGATGACATTTTTTTTTTTTTTGCTTTTTGGATCACACCCAGCGATGCTCAGGGGTTACTCCTGGCTCTGCACTCAGGAATCATTCCTGGCGGTGCTTGGGGGACCATATGGGATGCTGGGAATCGAACCTGGGTTGGCTGTGTGCAAAGCAAATGCCCTACCCGCTGTGCTATCACTCACTCCAGCCCCGAAGATGCCATTTCTAATGGACTCATTTCACTCCTTTCCCGCAAACATGTGGCAAGTCCCCATCCCTTCCCCAACCCCCTCAATCCAGCTGTTCTCTGGCCAAGGCCCAGGCAGGCACCCAACCTCTTTTGGAGGCAACTTAGAGGATCTTAGAGCTACTGAGCTGACTGAATCTGTCTCTCAGTCACTGTGGTCCCACCTACGACTGCCAGCCGTGTCATCACTCCTTTCAACAAATATTTCACTAACAAAACCCATACACCTTGGAATTTTTATTCATAAAGAATACTTAGTAGCTAATAACTTTTCCGTTTCTTTCCCAATTATAAACAGGCTGGAGCAATAGCACAGTGGGTAGGGCGTTTGCCTTGCACGCGGCCGACATGGCCGACCCGGGTTCGATTTCTCCCCCCGTTCGATTTCTCTCCCCCTCTTGGAGAGCCTGGCAAGATACAGAGAGTATCTTGTATCTGGTGAGATATAGAGAGTGTCTCACCCTCAAGGCAAAGCCTGGCAAGCTCCCCGTGAAGTATTCAATATGTCAAAAACAGTAACAACAAGTCTCACAATTTGTTGTGAGACGTTACTGGTATCCGCTCGAGCAAATGGATGAACAATGGGAGGACAGTGCTACAGTGCTACAATGCTACAGTTAATTGACATTTTTCTGAGATAATGCAAAAAAAAAAGACAATCCAACTCTGAGGGTTTGTATAGGTCAGCAGCGTATCAATTATTAGCTGTTAATTCCACTAATTCAGCCAATGACAGGTAAGGAAGGCAGCTACACAGTCAAGTCTGAAGCAAAGGACCCGACAAGTTTGCTTGCAATAAGTTGGGCTCCTTGCTTAAAACTTCATTGGGGAGCTAGCTGCCTTGCTTGTCTGCTCCCTCTGTGTTGTTACAGAGCCACAGAACCTTCTAGTCTGGGTTGGGTCAGAACCGTAGACCCCTTCACTCTAGAAACACAACCATGGGTGCCATTCAAGCTTGACTTGATTAGAACTAAAGACTCCCAGGTACCAATCTGAGGGAACTTAATGCTGACTCCAGACTTTCCTCTAAGTTCTTCACTGCAGGATGGTAAGAGAACTTTGAGTGTGTTTACTTGTTCTCACTGGTTCTCACATATGCTCCAAATCTTGAGGGTGGTAGTGGCCATAGGTACAGACATCTGTCAGAAGCCATAGGAGGCCTCTGAGTTGCTATGGGTACACAGCAGTGAGGAGACCGAGTTTGGACCGGCAGAGAACCAAGTAGGCACTACATCCGTCCATAATTTGCCTCCCTCCTGCCCCACCCTGTCTCCTTTCTGAGCCTCCCTAGGACCTTCTAGGGAGACGGCGTGGGTGGACAGAGCCACGTGTGAGTCCCAGAGAGCAATGACCTTGCATCTACGTGTGAGCTTATAAAATTAACCCGTGTGAATCCACTGACTTCCACAAAAAGTGATCATGGTTTTGGAAACCTTGGATTTCCTTTAGGTTTTCTCTTTAGAGAAGGATGACTGGGAAGATGCGACGGATTCTCTTCCTCATCCAACAAATCCTGTCGAATGTTCATTACTTGTGTGGGTCTAGACATGCTGACACACAGCCTATGGGAAGAGAAGCCATTCTATTTGTGTATGTGTGTGTGTGTGTGATTTGATATTCAAGAATAGTTATTTATTTATTTTTAATTGAATCACCATGAGCTACAGTTACAAAGCTTTCATGTTTGAGTTTCAGTCAATCATCGAACACCCATCCCTCCACCAGTGCACATTTTCCACCACCAATGTCCCCAGTATCCCCCCCCCCATCCCATCCTCCCCCTGCTTCTATGGCAGACAATTTCCTCCATATTCTTTCTCTACTTATGGGTATTATGGTTTGCAATACAGATAATAATTGGCTATCGTGTATGGTCCTTAATCTACTTTCAGCACACATATGTATATGAGCATCACAAGTAAATGACTGTAATGGTCCCCACTCCCACCCCCCACCCCCCACCCCGGGGTAGTGGGACCCTGAGTCATCACAATTCAACAAAGGGGATGGGGGGATGGGTACAAGCCACTAGAAAAACCTGGAGAGGAGTTAACGGTGCAGTAAAAGGCGTGGGTCTGCCTTGGCTCTGGGCACAGGTCAGCACCATAGCCCGGCCCGAAGGCCACCAACTATGGGTCATCACCACAGCCTGTTCCAGAGGCCGCCAACCATGGGTCAACCCCACAGCCTGACCCGGAGGCCACCAACCATGGGTCAACTCCACAGCCCGGCCTGGGAGGCCACCAACCATGGATCAATCCCACAACCCGACCCAGAGGCCGCCAACCATGGGTCAACACCACAGCCCAGCCCAGAGGCCATCGACCATGGGTCATCACCACAGCCTGGCCCGGAGGCCGCCAACCATGGGTCAACCCCACAGCCTGACCCGGAGGCCACCAACCATGGGTCACCACCATAGCCCGGACCGAAGGTGCCAACCATGGGTCACCACCACAGCTCGGCCCGGAGGCCACCAACCATGGGTCACCAGCACAGCCTGGCCCGGAGGCCGCCAACCATGGGTCAACCCCACAGCCCGACCCAGAGGCCGCCAACCATGGGTCAGCCCCACAGCCCGGCCCGGAGGCCACCTACCTACTCCGTCTAGTGTTTCCTGGAGGTGCTGGGCTGTCTGGGGAGGTCCTGGCTCAGAACAGCAGGGAAGACATTTGCTTTGCATGTGGCCGACTCCGGTTTGATCCCTAGGACCCCACAGGGTCCCCTGAGCTCACTAGGAGTGATCCCTGAGCACAGAGCCAGGAGTAAGGCTTGAGCACTAGCTGGGTGTAGCTCCCCCAAAACAAAAAAAAATACAACAAAAGCTGAGGAGGTGGGACCAGGAGGTGGCCAGAGCAGGACAGTTGGGCACGCATGAAGCCCTGAGCTCGATTACCCAGCACTGCAGTAGCAACTGAGTTAGACTTGACAAAGGTTCACTGCACATGGGATAGAGTAATGAGCAATGTTAACTGAGAGCCCGGCACTCCCGGGGTGGGGCAGGTTTTCGGAAGTGGGCGACACCTCCCCCAGGGGTGCAGAGGTGCTGGGGTAATGAGGGCACAAGTCGCCTTGGGTGCAATTGGGGGGGTGGGTGCTTCTGTTCGCTCACTAATGGGCTATGGTAGGTCCAACCAACTCGGGGGCTTCTGGTCTTAGAGGAGCCAAGCTCCCGGTGACATGGGTTCAAGTGCCCCCAGCCCCATGGGCAGAGACTACGGCGAGTCTGGAATAGCACTTTTGATTGTATCTCAGAAGGTGGGAAACAGAAAGGAGTTTCAAGGCTGGTCCTTGAGCACAACCAAAGGATTTAAAAGGCAGTGATAAGAATCAGAGATTTCGATATTATTGCCCCCCATAGATTTCTCGCAGGCAGGAGATAGAACAGGAGAGCATTCATTTTTCAAATCCCCGCCGAAGCAAACACAAAAACCAAACTGCCAAAATATTCAGGGGCCAGAGAGACAATACAAGGTGTAGGGCGCTTGGCTTCACGCTGCTGACCTGGGTTCGAGCACTGGCATCACGTACAGTTCCCTGAGCACTGCCAGGATTGACTTCTCAGTGCAGAGCCAGAAATAAGCCCCGAGCTCCACCGGGTGTGCCCCTCCCCCAATCAGCAATAAAAAGAATAAAAACATATATATATATTACTATAGAAGATAAATGAAATGAGGTGTTTGTAATTTATATGGACTCAGTTTCAAAATACGTAAAACTGTGGACCTGGGACTCAGAAGCCAGTGGCATCAGAACACATTTAAATGCATATAAAAATAAATGGAGATGCTCTACAAACCCCCGTCCCCTGGACACACACACACACACACACACACACACACACACACACACACACACACACACACCCCGATAGAAGGCACAAAAAAAGCTTCAGCTTTGTCATTTCAGGGACACCAACGTGAGCTGGGACCCGCCACCTCCTGGAGAGAACATCGCCATGGAAACGGGCCCGCTCCAGCAGGGAAAGTGCTAATCCAGGCGAACTCGACACAACTGCTATTAATTATGATTTAATTTGCACTGCGCCCTTCGGCCGGATGCCGGAGCGCCTTTGTTTGTCCGTCCGGCCCTTTCTGGGGCTCCCATCACTTCTCCCGAGCTCCAAGGCAGACCGTGATTGTTCTCCAATTGTTCCCAGCTCATCTGCCTCTGCCACTGGGTACTGACAGATCTATTAGAGGCCGTAGCGGAGAGCACCTGGCCGGGAGCCCAGCTGGGACCAGAGGGGGTAGGCGAGAGGGGCTGAGCTGTGGGCGCTCTGCAGAGGGAGAGGTGTCTGTGCTGGTCAGGGGGACACCCCTGATGGCCCTTGGAGTGGCGGGTGGGAAAACATCTCTCCTGTGGCCCCTGGGGGTTAATGTCTCGGAACATAGCCCAGACAGAAGGGCTTCCTCCTGGGAAGCTGGGCTGCGTGTGGGTGTCCCCTAGGCATGAGTGCGCCCCCAGAGACCGTATGCGCTTCTAAGAGCAAGATAGAGGTTGTCCGCTACTCGGCACACACGAGGGTGGCCCAGGAGAAGGACTTAAGTCAGAGCATCATAAACTCTCCTCATGTCCTTAAGGGTTTCCTGGCTACCAAAATACAAGCTGGTTTTGTTTTTTGGTGGTTGTTTTGGGGGCCGCATCTGTTTGGTGCTCAGGGATCCCTCCT